TTATTGTGTTTAAAATAAAAACATTATCCATGGCCCGATGACCCTTCCTAAAACCTGCTTGTTCCTGATAAAATAAATTATTATCTTCTGCCCAATTATTTAATCTAATATTTATTATGTAAAGAATCAGAATTTAAATAAAATGGAGATAAAATACAGTATTCAAATTTTAAGTCTGATTGAGTGTCATTTCCGGACATCTAGAGGTGCCATAATCATAATTTGCTTGGCGACTCACAGTATAGAATAGGCTAAAGGTACTCGATTAGACCTTAGCGACGCCTGTGAGGGGAGGGTGTTTAAGGGATGGGGAGCATAGCTCCCGTCTGGAGGAAGTCAATAGTTTTGTTTAGGAACACTGCTTTGAAAAAGCATTTTTACCATCTGGGAGTGCCATTTCCAAGCGTCCAGCGGAAGGGGCAGATTTCCCCCCACCCCCAAAAAAAAAATAGAGAGAGAGGAAGGTGGGGGGGGGGGGTTGAGGAGAAAAAATAGAAAAGCTCATATTTAGGCCTATTTATTACTACAGTACTTCAGTTGGTTTTTGTTGATTACGCTGGCACGCATCAACAAGGCTCGTGGTGAACATGTGGTCACTAAATGATAGAATAAAAGTACAATCTTTTGGTATAGTTACCGTACATCGGTATTTGCAAATTTTATTTATGAGTATATAATCAATTATTGCCAACATAATATCCAACATAATGATATATAATAATATATCACACCTACAACAGTCATTAGTCATTCGGCAGAAAACGTGTTTATGAATTATCGAAAATAAATGTCTGTTCCAAGTTTTTCTCTTGCCTTTTATAATGTCTTTTTTGAATTTGTAAAATTGTTACAATTCAGTCTTTAACACTGCAATTACAATTATTTTTAAATAAAATACCCTTTATGAATGAATGAAAAAATATATTTTTCACGACTCCATAACAATAGCAACACAATCTAATTCTTTAATTTTATATGGAAAATAAAACTATATTCCCTTCATTTTCATTCATCATTCAGTATATGTTCATTTATTCAAATTATAAACATGATCAGAACATTCAAGATAAATGGAAACGTAACAGACAAGAAAACAAACGTAAGAAAAACTAATCTATTGACTATATATATTTCATAAATCTCCATTCAATTTAAGAATTAATAAAATATATATCGCAACAAACGTTAAAGAGAAACTTGTCTCAAACCAAGCCAACTTTGTAACATTTGCATTGTTTCTGTAAAACTAGAAAAATAACACCAAGTGATACATGTAATATTAATAATAATAAACTACCGAATTGCATAACAAAAATAGCGCGACCGAAATGATGGGATACCGGCCACCCCGGTCCCCACCCCCGTTTATACTCACCTCAACGTTCAGTCCAGTAAGATAACTGTTGATGTTATTGACGTCTATTCGAGATTAAGGCCTATAGACAATTGTTTTTTTGGTGCAAAAGAAACTACAGTACTTAATGCAAGGAGCAAGCAAACCGAAACTGAGCTACAAACACATCCAATAATACTGTACAAATACTGTACAGTTCCGTACCGTACGTATCCGGTTGTGGTCAGTTTAGGTCAGTGTGACCGGTGATGCAAATCAATTTGAGGCTGATGGGAAATTATGCTAAATTATACCAAATGTTAAATTTCAAATAAGCGCCGCCTCCAAATGTTCAATTTCGAATAAGCGCCCCAAAATGTTCAATTTCGAATAAGCGCCTTCCAAATGTTCAATTATGAATTTAAGCGCCACCCTTGGATATGTCCCCAAATTTCAAATTAAAGCGCCCCTTTTCAAATGCAAACTAAACCATTTTTAATACTAATTTTTCTTCAGTGAGAATTTAATTAATTGTTATATAACCCGGATCTGTGTGCTTTGGTGGCATACTGTGTAGGCTATTTCCAATGGGGGTGATTTATTTAATTGTATACACAAATATTTAAAAAATACTTCCTCAAATAACTACTGAAATAAAGGATGATATGGGAGGTAAGTAGACAGCAACGACAAAAGCGATACACTTTAAAAAGAAGAGGCAGTAATGAATTAATTATTTGCAAAACAAATAACATTTTTTTTTTTGGAGCTGATATATATGAAACATGTACGGTTTGCATTGTAGTGATACACATAGGCATTACAGTATCATAATTTGAGATTATGGAAAAGTAAAATATTGTACTATATATTTAGCACCTTTGGCCTTTAAAACACAATACTCAGATTATCATTTATTTTTTGGAAATTGTTTTATAAATATTGTTTTATAAGCAAAATTTTTATAAGCAAAAATTATAAACAAAATTTGAACACAGTATTGACTAAAACTTTTATAATAAGTCAACGTTTAATGCGATATACCGGTAGCTATTATAGGCCTACTTACTTTTTGGTTTTGGGATTCTTTTATAACAAGCAAAAATGGAAACCTACAAATGCAATAAGCACCTTGAAGATCGAGTTTATAAACACAGGCTGACCTGGCTTCACAACCCATTCTTCGTGTAAACATTAGATTTAATGAGATAGACCTACTCTCTATGGCAACGATATTGGGACTGAGTAAAGGCCTGTTTATCTTGCAACGACGATAACGATAAAAAGCAATTGTTCATATAGAAAATAAAAGAAATGGGAAATTATTACACTAGGACGATTCGATAACGATTTATCGTGTATAGGATAACAAAATATTTTGACAAATCAAATCAGATGACGTCATAATTATTGAAAAACGATAAAATCGTTGCTACTACTACGATTTTAATGTTTTCCAGGATTATGACGTCATCTGATTTGATCTGTCAAAATAGTTTGTTATCGCATAACCGACAGAACGTTATCGAATCCCACAGTGTAAAAACTTACCTTATTTCGGTTATTTTCTATATGAACAATTGCCTTTTACCTTGTTATCGTTATAAGTATTATAAACAGGCCTTTTAGCTGTACGGCAGTTCATTCACAGGGTGTTGTGCTAGGCCTAGTTGTTGATTAACATACAGTTATTGTGTTATTTCGTCTGGAAATTGTTTATTAACTATTTGATGGGTTTGAATTTCATTTCTATGTTCCAGACCGAATAAAACGTCCGAAATTCAGAATAGAGAGTTCCGTTTTCGGAAAGTATTTTATTAAAGGAAGAATAGGAATGGTTTTGGGACTTCAAACAACTTTTTGTTTAGCGTGAAATTCAGTTTTCTGGTCATTCGGAAATTCCACTGTATTTTGTTGTAGTTAGTTTCATTTTATTCATCATCATAACATAAACATTGTTCAACATTTTATCAATAATTATGTGAATTTGAATATTAGTAGGCTTACTAGGATAGGCTTTCTAGCTTGATTGGGAGACTTAAAAAGACATCCATCACTGCTATGACCAGTCAGCATGGGTCGATTTCAGGGCATGCAATTGAAACTAAAAACTGCTGACGTTATAAACCGCCGTCAATTTTATAGCGCCGGCGATTTTAACTTTTTTTTTGCCGACGTACTTTTTTTTTTAGATTATCACTCCCGTCCGCGTCAAAAATTTGGGGAGATATTGATGCGGGAAAAAAAATTTTTTTTTGCTGCATCAAATTATTTCAACAGCATAAAATAACAATGCAATTTTGTGACTTCAAATACATTTTCTTTAAAAAACTATAAAATTAAACCAGTTTTTATACAATATTTACTATTACAGGCACAGGCCAAATATAAACAGTCCCTCCCTCATCAATAAAAACAAAAGCGAAATAATTTATTGTACCGATTAAACAAAAAAAACCACCCGCCCTCATCAATTTTTTAACAAAAAAGTGATAATATAATAATTTATTATGAACAACTTATTCTAATTTTAAAAAATATATTTTTGTGATTTATTAATGTCACTTTAGCTTTCATTTGCCACAATTAAAATAAGTTTGATGGCTTGAAATTATTATTTTTTTTAAATGTTTTATACAGTATATACTGTATATATATGCCATAAATACAGGTTTTTTCATTAATATTTTTCACCTGGTATCCTCTGGAGAAATGTTTCTACTGTATTATAGCAAATAAAAACATTATCCCTCCAAATAATGTTTTGGTACCAAAATGATTTCTCTACCACCAATCACAACCAAAATAAAATACTGCAAGCACAGTGTTGGTATTTTACCCCATTTTGGACTCGGAGAACCAATTTTACGATTGCACCATGGCCAAAATGGATGACCAAAGGTACCAGGAACATGAAAAAACAGGTCTAACAGTGTCTACACATGAACCATATTTACTGTAGCTGGTGGACAAATATGAATCCAATGATTGGCATGAGGCTTTTTGTAATCTACTGAACAAACTGTTTCAATTCTCTTGATTATTGAATTTTAGAACCATTTATAGAAAGAATGTTCAATGAAGCAAATAAGAAGAAATATTTGGAAATGTATAAGTTTATTTTCATCACTGTCATCAGCACCACAAACATCTTGTACAGCATTTAGTAATCTCATCAATAATTATTCAACAAATCTTAAATTATGTTGGTATCCCATCAGTTAGGTAAAATGCAGCAGAATTTGTTTATTTTAAAAAGGTAGTGTACATCTGTATAACAGAATTTAAAATTTATTAAGCTTTACTCAATATTCATTAAAATGTATGCATACACCGTGTGCTTTTATTAGGACAACATCTTCCTCACATCATGTAGCAATACTATTCACAATGTTAAGTCTACAATTATATTGCAATTGCATGTACTGTATGTAGTTTAAATTAAAAAAATAATCATTTGCAGGGCTATAGTGGTGCATTTACTTAGTAATGATAAAGATATTAATACAGTAATAAGTTTTTTTTTATATTTAAAAAAATATTTAAAATGCTCCCTTTTTAAAATTAATCATTAATATTAATATGATAATAATTGGCATACAGTACTTTTGTGGATTATATAATTCCACAATAATAAAAAATAATTGTACCTTTCAGCCTTAACTAAAATCATGCTAACTAAAACTACAGTAAATTTACAGATATCTAAATTGTTAATCTGGAATATTATTCTAAAACAATAAATCATTTTCTATCAAAGATGTGGTGGGTAACTTATATTTTTGAGTCAGGAGATTTTGAAAGGGCCAGTTGACGCTGTACTGGGAGAGAAATCTTTCCCGGCATCTTATGCTTTAATGCTGTTAATCCGTGACTAACTACACATTGCATTATTGAACCACTTGGTGGAGTGATATAAGGATTTGGTCTTGTGGTAGGTTGGATAGGAGAAAGGTTAGTAAGCCCCTTTAACAGAGATGATGCATCTTGCTGATGGAACTCGGGTCTTGTAATCCCTGCCGGTAATTGATAGCGAGACGGAGGTAGGTAGGGATATTGATATGGACTAACCCTGGATGATGTGATACCAGCCGTTGAAGGAGCTAATCGTATAGGTTGACATCTGAATTGGCTAGGATGAATTGGATGGGGTATTGCCAAATGATTCACTTCCATTGCCTTGTTGTTTTGGGTAGATGGAGGTACCAGAGGACAACCATCAGCTGACATAATCTTCACACTAGATGGTGAACATGAATTTGTATGAAGGCAAGCTTGAGCATCAACTCCTGTAGAACTTGGAAGGGAGTGAACGTTTTCTGCGATACTAGTCCCACAGACTGATTGGCAATGAGGGGAGACAGGTGGTGCCAACCATGATAAAAGATACCTACCCTGTGACGATGTACTAATAGGTGATGAATTATAAAGCTTTTTTGTTGGGAACTTTGTGATATCAATACCATCTAGTTTAACTGGTGTATCATTGAGGTTACTGGAAGAAGACATGTTTTCAAAATAGCTTCCATTCTTTAATGATCCTGGAGAAGGACTGCCATCAACAGAAGTATTTTCTGTTAATATTCTGTGCTGGATACTTGACTTGCATCTGTCGTCTTTGAGAATTTCTTTCTTGATTGATTTTTTAGGCAGAGGGCTAATGACTTCCTGACACAACAAGTCCACATCTTTGGATTCAGTTCCACTGCATGTGTCATTAGTCAAGCTGTCTAATTCATTTGTTCGTATATTTTCTCTGGTGTTGTGGAAGTTAGTGGAAACCGGTTCTGTTGTGACATACATCTTTACAGGTTCATCCCCTGAAGTGCCAGGGACCACTCGCACCACTTTGAGTGTTTTGCCTTCTTTCAGCAGATCGTCTAACTGTGCTTTTGTAAACCCATGTTGTTGTAGTAGAGTAAGTGCATCCACTTCAGTTTTGGTTTTCTTCTCTATTGGTTGGTAGGTTATTTCCTTATTCACTGGAATCAGTAAAGACCTTTTACTCTTGTGTAAGCTTTGAAGACCTTGCTTTCCGTTTGCTGAAGAACACAAAATATCAGCAGGTTCACAACTTCCAATAACCTCGGATTCTTCAAGCTGTGAGTTGCTAACATCAGTGTTTTCACCGAACAGTGCACGGCAAGGTCCAGAACCATTTGATCCAGTCATAGTATTCTTAGCAATCTTAATGTTGGGTGGTGGTATCAATGTACTTGTTTCATCTACAAGATGGTTTACTGATATCTTGTCTTCATTGCATAGGTTTCTGGAAACTAAGTTGGATACTTGGGCAGGGTATTTTCGTTTAAGAGCTTCAAAATCAGCATGAAATGATTCATCTAGAAGAAAGAACAAATCACTTATCAAAATAAAAAATTAATTGCAAAAGCAATCACTCAATTATATTACATTAAAAGACAGAAAGCTTGTAATAAACTCAGCACTCACCAAACTGGAAGTTTACTAAACATAATCACCTAAAATTAAAAAGGCATAAATGAGCACTATCGTACTTGTTAGGTGAAATACTTGGGTATTGGAATATGACAAAATGTTATACTCCACCACAAAATACAATAATTACCTAAAGATTGACAGTGATTTGCAAATACAGTAAAACGCCCATTTTACCCTTGGTACGAAGGGGGTGTTTGTAAATTTAAAAATTTGAAGATCAAGTGTCAGTTTCCAATACCTAGGCCTAGCTATCCCCTGCCATGAGCGCAGATAGGATGACAGCGGCCAGGCCTAGCACAAAACCGACATTCGTAAAATGGACGTTTTACTGTAAGTAAATATGTTATTTATATATATATATATATATATATATATTGCCAAGACCCACATGCACATTATTACAGTGATCAGAAACTGCATGTTGCAGTCAGTACTCAGCACATACCAGACACACACTTACACTTCTGAGTTTAAGGAGTAGGTTTTATAGTTTCATATAAAACTTTTTTCCAAATGTCAAACTCAAGGAGTTCAACCACCAGGCGCATAGAGGCTTTTTTGCATGATGCGCTATACAAATCCAACTATTATTTATTATTATTATTAATGGTAACCCAAGGAGTTAAGGTCATTTATGTTTTCTCTCTATTTAACACCATTAGCTGAACAAGTCCATGACTACTACAGTACACTGATATTTTTGGACAAACAGTCTCCATGCCTTATGATTATATTTTGGTTTACTTTATTTTTATGTTTATTTAATTTTCCACACACATCAAACCATATACAGTTAAACATACAATACAGTTTTATAAGAAAATGTATCCAAAAAAATTAAACCCAAGTCATAGGGCCCCCGTAAATCCATTGGAGCTGTTTACATGCATGCTCTTATGTCTAGAGCCAACAAGTGCACCATTTACAAGCTCAGCATATGCAACAATAATTAAAGGTATTGCACCGGTTAAATCAGGACAGTTTCAAAAGAAGAAAAATTCCAACAAAACTCAATTATAAGTGAATAATAATTATTTTTAATAAGGAAACCTACCAAGATCTTGTTCATGTTTAACTGGGGTACTAGGAGCAGAAGAGAAACCCTTATTCTCCTTTTCTATAGTCTCACACATCATGTTAAACGAAGAGTGCCGTGCCCATGATCTTTTCCTAGATGAGGTACCTACAAGAGAAATGTCACTATATCAAATGTGTCCATCTTCATCCTTGGTTGTCGTGTGCAGAATGTACATTCTCGCAAAGCTATATCTAACGATATTCAGCATTTTAATTTGAATATCATTGCAAATGCTACCTCAAAATGATTACAAAATTTTGATCACCTTTTTTACTTTTTTTTTTTACACCATATAGAGGGTGACCATTCCAGCGTTTACCCTAGAAGGTCAGCTGATATTCAGGGGCCTGAACAAATAATTGAAATGACGTAATGCTTTATTAGTGAAGTCTCATTACATGATTTAGGGGTGGAGATTGTTTCAGTTGTCAGAAAATTTTTTTTGCTGTCACAGGATTTGAACTCAGAACCCTAGGATTGGAACACAATCCACCAAGCTACATCTGCACTTCACCTCAATAATAACAGTAGTTATTCACAAATATTTGATAAATTTTAAGATTTTGTTTACATACACTAGATTTTCATGCAATAGACCGAATTGGATAAGAGCTGTTATGTCACAAACATCTTGGTTAGTGGGTACAAAAACAAGTCCTATGCTTATGCATTCAGCAGAGTCAAAAGTGGTGTATATTGATAAATCATCTAAAATGTAATGAAGTCAGCAAAAATGATGCCTTTTATAACAAAGTATACATTTTGAATGAGTCCCATGAGATTCATGAAATTAAAGTTGATTTAAATTTCCATTCAGACTAAAAGTATGAAGAGTTTTAAGACCATTCTAGGCGGCCTAGGCCTATCGCTTGGGCTTGGTTCATGCATGACTCGCCACATCCAGTGCTGACTACGGGGGTTGTTGTTAATTTAGAGGTTCACATCCAGCAAGTCCAAGTCATTTTTTTTGCAATTTCTGTATGAATACTTAAACTATTAGACAAACTTAAATTGCTGAATAAAATATTTCTTTTGATTACGATGACCAATATGTCAGAACGTTTTTTGTATGGCTCTCTAGTCTAGGGCTAGGCCCATGTCCATGCAATGAGGCTATTTTCACTGTGTACAATTCTCTATGTAAAAATTTAAGTTTAAAAGTGTAAGCTTTCCATCTGTTTTACTTGCATTTCAAATCTAATAGGTCAACATTACTTGAGTTTACTTAGGAAAATTTACCAAGGCTTCTTGATAAGTTAATATGTTACAATGTACAAATAAACAAGCTTGAGGAGTTTAAAAACAGCCAAAAGTTATTCGAGCAGAAAAAACTGCCACCTAGCAGTGTGTTTTGATTATACACACTAGCTTTGGTAACTAATTTGGTTTATTGGGAAATAGAATAAGAAAATCATTTTCATAACAACCCTTTTATAAATATTAACTTTGTACACTCACTAAGGCTTATTGGAGAGCCCAAGAGGGAATGTTTGGTGACAGGACGCTTCTCAACTGCAACCGTACCTGTAAAAAACATACCAACATCAATTAAGCACTACTTATTAAAGTTTTAACATGAACAAAATACTTGACAAACAAGACTCTTTGAATTTCAATGATTATTTTGAGAAAGAGAAAATTGCAAAGGGATTTTTCCAGGAAAAATTTTGTTTGGAAAATTTAATTAAAAAATTGATCAAAATATTTTCTACATGAACCCCTGCTTTATTTATCAGAGCCATTGAATGGCAAGTATTTTGAATGCAGTAAATTTAAACAATCAATTTTCTCACAAATTATTTATTATTATCAACTTGTAAACATAAAGATGTCAATGAGAACTCACTTATATTGATTTTTGTATCTTGTGGATGCGGTCCGATCCATTTAAATGCTGGTTTCCGTCCCCTGTTCTCTGTTACATGAACTTTCTTAATCAGCTGCAGACTGCTGAGGATGTTAGCAATGTCATACAACCTTCGAACTTTAGCTGCAAAATAGAATAAGAATCATCAATATTATAAGTCAAATAACAACATGCACTGATTCTGTGTAGAAGCAGTTTTGATTCTTTGCTGTGCTTTTCAGTTGTGTCCTTTAGCAGGGCATTTTAGCTTCATTTAGCCGTATTAACGGGTACCAGCACAATGCTGGGAGCAACCTGCGGTGGACAAGCAGCGCACAGATCACAATGAGCGTACACATTACATAGTTTGGATTTCAAAACGACAGGATACTTCTCGTACTCGATACTTTCACAGAATCTTTGTGTGTGTTTTAGCTTCTTTTTTGAAGGAAAACTCAACACTACTACTACTAGTTTTTCGAGCACTGCCTAGGCCTACATCCACTTTGGTGCTTGTGGTTTACTAGACTGTTGTTACAAAATCAGTAGACAATGGAGCGCTATACAGTTCAGAGTGCAGTGCAACTTTAGGTCAGTGATTTGGCCAATGAAATTTGTTTTTTCAAAAACAGTCGCCTGTGGAGCACGAATGACTTTTTTCTAAATCAGTAGACCATGGAGCAAGAATTACTTTTTGTATACAGTTCAGAGCGCTGTTCAGGATAAAATTAACTGGTCTTGTTCTTATCTGAACTATAGGATTTTATTATTTGGAAATGTGTGATTTATTTCAGCCGGCCATAATGCGTAAGAAGTGGAGATTTTCGACCCAAAATCGGGGTGCAGAGTTTTGCTTAAATAAACGGAGTGACTAATCTGAAATTGGAGTGGTTGGCATGTCTGAAGGTTTCACCCAAGCTTATCATTTCATTATCTATATACGGTGTGTTAAACATTGAAAAAAATACAACATGAACAAATCTTCAACTAATTAAGTGGTTTAGATCAATGAGTCATTTATTTAATATTACAGTAACCTATAAAAATGAAAATATTCAAAACAGATTTTCAATAAATCTATTGATGTCCCATTTATTAACTTACTTTTTAATTTGGCATTCTCATCAATTTGAAAATTCTCATCTCCTATAAGAATCCTTGCTGCATCATCTAATGATATCAATCTGGAATCCTGCAAAATCAGAGAAATTACATTTTACATTTGTACATTACCTGAACGTTCACATTCAAATTACCCTTTCTGTTCTACTAAGCTAATACAGTGGTCTAGATGAAATACTGTATACTATGCACCACCACAGTAAATACATAATTGTTAATGTCCAAAAACTAATTCACAATTACAGAATTAATTATGCAAATAAGAAATAACATTATGGGAGCAACTACAAATAAAAGAAATTGATGACTAAGAGCAAGACATGCGTTTGGTTCATATTCTATAAAATACAATACCGTATGATTCATATAGAACCAATATAATTGAAAGTATACACATATTATCATGGGTATAGAGTTGTAGCAGTAGAAAACAAAGTGTAGGTGGTCGACAGACTCTAGAGGAAAACAATTTTTTGATATGTTGTAGAACTGATTTTTCTAAGACAGAAAAAAGATGTTTGACAAAAAAATGGGGATAAAAAAGGGGCATAACCGCATTTTTTTACATCTTTTCTCCCAGTTTTTAAATATTCAAAAATCTGTATCTCACTCAACGTTCCCCAACTCTTTTCTGTTTTAGAAAAATCAGTTCTACAACACATCAAACTTTTTTTCCTCCGGAGTCTGACTTTAACTTCAAATAATAAGAATGGATTTTAAGGATGGGGAAGAGGGTTAATAAAGGTGGGTGGTGGGCAATGAAATTAGCTTTAGACTGGGTGGAAACTTCAAGACTGGGTGGCCCGCTCACCATAAGGACATGACGGGTCAAATGGCCGCTTGCCTATGGTTCTGGAGGTGGAACAAGTCTTTTTATATAAGGACTATTAACTGTAGGCCCAGTCTACAAAACTGGCTCATGTGTACTTCAAAAAACCCAGTACATCTTTTGAGATGAGTAGGGGGTTACACAGCCCCTGTTGTCTTGTGATGGAATTACACCTTTGAAGAGTGATTTAGTTCACTGTTTGGCACATCCTTGGACAAAGCTGAATAAAATTTGTTTAAATCTATGTGGGTATAAGTCCACTCCCTACTGCACATTTCCTTACCTTTGACACTAGGAAGAGCATGATGAACTTCTGACTCATAACTCCAAGTGATTTTTCCTTTCTGGAATCAGCTTTGGAAATAAATGAAATTGGTTTGGGTGTACAATTTTATTTTTTAACAGCAAACAATTCACCATTCAGAAATGTGCTATGATAATGTACACAACAGCTAAGAGTTAATTTACATGTTAACCAATAATATGATTAATGAAATAACATGTTGTGAGAAACAACCATGTTCGCACCACCTACTGTAGGTAGAGGTCTGGGATTGCGCCGGAGCAGAGGCGGATTGTTGACTTTAAGAGACCGTGCACTGCTTGCCACCACATCTTATTACTACAGGTACTATATTTATTATATAGTTATCTTTTTTTTTTGTTATTAATCATTTTTAGTTGTTGTTAAGCGCATTGAGGCAGTTTCTTGCAATATGCGCTATATAAATAGCAATTTATTATTATTTATTATTATAAAAACAATTTATACAGACAGAATACTATCAGTACCTTTTTCTTCACATGAATTTGTTTTTTGATCTTTCTGCACGTTTGGTAAATTTGAGCTGTCTGTCAGTGGTTTCTTCTTTGGAAAGATTTTAAGATCCATTTCAAAGTCAGTCTGGAATTGAAGATGCCGTAGCTTTGCCACCCTTGTTCCGTAATTTTCCTTTTCTCCTATCTCCTACAAAATATATTAATAACAAACTAAAGTTATGAAAAGCAGAAGGAACGTGCATTGTTGTATATCTTTCAATTGCAAATAAACACAGCTGGAAGACTGGGTAAACAGATGCATACCAATGGGGAAAAATGTTAGAAGAGGAAGACACTTGGAAATCATAGGATGGAGTCATTCAAAGCAAAGAGAATAGAACAAGAGAGGCCTGTACACTTGTTGGGAGCCTGCACCATGCACAGTTTGTTTGTCGGTTTTCAACATGATACAGCAATCTTATAGAGGGTGGTAGATTGAATTCTTTTTCTTTATACAGTACCACCATTGAAGTGGGCCAATCTATGACGACGCTATATTGCTTTATCTGTACTCTTTGTTTAAAGCACCCAGTCTGTAAGTTTATAGATAGTATGGTAGTTTACCTACCTGCAGTCTTTTTAAGGTTGATAGTAGACTTGCTTTCCCATGCCAGACATACTTGTTCTTTGCTCTTCTACTGACCATCTCCACGCTCTCAAGAACATTCACTATATCATAAATTCTGCGTCTTTCAACATCTGTAATTAGAAGTAATTTTTAGGGTTTTGTTCAATATTAGCCAAGCAGAACTAAAATCGACAGGAAATCATATCAGGAATAAGTACAGTATATATACAAAGACATCATTCTGTGTGTGCATAGAAAATACTACTTTTCAGGTGCATACCAATTTTTAATCAAAATAAAGTAAGTAAAATAAATAATAATGAGGCCATCATTTCAAAAACAATTACACTATGATGAAAATATTTTCTGTACATTTTGCACAATCATGATGGTTTGGAATAAAATTAGTGTATAGAGTAATTTAAAGATTTAGCCCTAGAGTACTTACTTAGGTCCTTAGAAACAATGTCTAATGGAATAGCTAAAACTTGTCCATCCTCTGGATAATCAGGGTACCGAGATAAAAATCTAGACAAGTAAAAAATAATGAAAAAACAATGAATGATGTGATCCTGCTATAAAATTGTGCATTACTATTTTTTTTAGAATGTGCTACGACTCTCTTGGAAAAACTAAAGCTATAAAATTACTGTATTATCATCATTATTATTGTATCATCATCACCACCACCACCAGTAGAATGTCAATCAAGCCACGAATCTCAAAATGGAAAATACTTTTAATTACTCAAACATCATAAAAAATATCTCCCTAAATGAAAAGGTTGTTTGTACTTTTATATTCTACTCACTTTTGACAAAGCAGCCCAAGGGACTTTGCTTTTCGATTACCACCACTGTTTTTATCATTTTCTTCATCCCCTTGAGCATCATTGGCATCCATCACACTCTCCGCTTCTCTTGACTTCTCAGCAGCCTCAATTAAGTTATCAAACTTTTTTCGGTTCTCCCTGTCACGAATCATCGGGCTCAGAACATTCATCAGCATCTTCAAGTTTGTAGTTGGCGTGAGAGGGTCGATACTTGTTTTTGATTCACAAGATTTTTTTGGTGTTGCTGCTGGCAGGTCAATACAAGGGCCATTAGTTTTATTATCTACCTCACCTAAGTCAATAGTTGGTGGTGCCTCTGGCTGGTTATTTATTTTCTTATCCATCTTATCTGCATCAACAATTGTTACTTTTGGTTGGCTGCTAGAAGACCTATTTATTTTATTATCCACATCAACAATTGGTGTTTCCTCTGGTTGGCTGCTACAATAGCTATTCATCTTATTATCCATCTCATCCGTATCAGAAATTGTTAGTGGAACATCCAAATAATTATCATTGTTTTGTAAATTTTTAAGCATGATATTATTGTCAACGTTTGAAAATGGAATTGAGATAGGACAGGATTCGTCCGAATCTGAGTCACTTTCAGATTCAATTTCAACTGCTGTGAAGTCGCTTGGCAGTAAAATTGGAGCCATATCTGGTGTCAGCTCTGACATGTTGTTTTTAAGTTATTTTACAAACTTATCTGAAAAAAAAACAAAGGTTGATACTTGAATCTATTGAATAAATTCATACATGTTTCAAAATTTCATACATGTTTCAAAATACACCAAAAATTATAATTCTTTTATCAAAATATGATACTCATGTGCTTAGTTTAAGGAGCCGGAGTAGTTGTGTAGGACTGGATTATGGTAAGAATAATAAATACACCTATACAAGGACGTCGCATACATATAACCGGTCCATATGCAGACGATGGCGACCGTTATGTTTTGTGACAGGAATGGATCATTTTGATAATGTAGGTCTACTGTATACCTGTGAATTGCAATAGTTTTGGAAAAGTAGATTGTGGCCCGATCACTAAATTCTTGGTGATATAAGAATGCTGTGTATGCTTTGGATTTATTTTGACCACGATAAATGAGTAACTCTACCTTTGTCAAATACTGTACTTAAAAGAAAATACGATTTTACATATGCATGGTCAGTCTAATCATGGGTAAATTCTGTGAAAGTTTCAGTGAAGTACGCACACACTCAGGGAGACTAGAATCAAGCCACATTTTACTGTTCAGGAAAAATAGCCTTTAGCGTTTATACTCCTATCAGTGTTTGTTCTGCCTTCCTTTCTTTTTTTTCCAGTTTCAAATGGCTTAAATACATATACATACAAAACATTTAAGACAGATTGGGAGCTAGCTTGCAGACACGAAGTCTATCAACCGCTAGTCCCCGACAAATACAAATAAACGCAAAAAAATCAACTTGTTTGTTTAAACTTCCATACATTCAGGCACTGTGACCAAGAAGAATATCTGCAATGGACGTTTTTGATCACTGAAAAGGTACATGGTTGTTTGACAGAAAATCTAACCTGAACATAGATTTGGATAAACAGTACTGTACCACATCTAGGATGTGTAAGAAAATTTGAATCTATTGATTTTTCCTGTCTATGCAATCACCAACTTCCTGTCTATAATCTGGAGCTTGGCTCAAAAATGTAAAACTTGAGATACAGTAGTGACCACTCTGCACTAAGTCATAAACATAATATTTCATCAACAATGTATTTTTTAAATGCATAACACTACTACAGTATATTAAATCAATTAAAATTTCCAGATTTGCATTTTCTATACTGTAAAAATAAAGACAAATTGAGGTTATAGTAAGGTAAGTAGCATGTCACACTTGCTTCACTTACACTACCACCAGCAGGAAATCATTTCTAACAATTGAGGTGCTAATTTTTCCTGATAAAGAACAATAGACAGGGTCAATATTTTGGAGGCAAACTTTGGACCCAAAAAACAAGAACAATGAATAATCTGTCTTGTAGATGAACAGGTTGATACAGGGGTTCCGCACTTGCTAGCATGAGCTGTACTTTTTTGCAATCAAGTAAGAAATTGCCAAAATGTCCGAGTCAATTCTTAAATTTTGAAACCATAAAGGCCAGTCTTATAATTTTAATTGGAATTTTCCCATGAAACATCCGACAACAAAATGTGGCATCATGCAGTACCATCTTTTTGAACTTTCGAGGTTAATCAAACTGACGTTTATCATTGGCTTTAATAGTTTTTCTGGATTTAGGCCTAGCCCCTAGGCCCTATTTTTCGATCTGTGTACGCATTTGGATCATTACTAATTTTTGAAGTAATTATTGTACGTGTGAATTTCATGTGAACACACATAGTCAAACAACAGCACCATACAATATAAAGAATGACATACAATACAGATACAAATAGATAAGTTTTCATAAACATTTAATAAAAAAACTTCACGTTGCAAACTCAGACATTCTGGCAATTTCTTACTGATTGCAAAATGGCAGCCGCTCATCGTGCTAGCAAACAGAGATTCGCTGTACTTATTTGTGGGCTTATTTGTTGAAAAAGCTACTTTGTGAGTGGTTAATCGTGTGAACATATTTGTTAATAATATTTTGTGACCATGAGAACACGGAGGTAAAAAATTAAGAATTAAAAGTTAGGTGCGAAATTGCATTAGCACTTATAGGCCTAGATGTACTTGTTTACTTGTTTCCCAAGAGAGACTTTTATAGTCTGATCCTTCTGGGTATAGGTCTAATCTTACTCTCATTAATGAGTAAAAAAAGTACAACAGCAGCATTCCTGCAGAAGGCCTCACCTCTTTAATATTAAGGCCTAATACTAGTAGCCTTGCCTAAGAATAATATTTCAGTAAATTCAATGTGATTGATGTTTTGTTTTGTTTGATTCTAATATTTGTTAGGCCTAGGCCTAGTAGAGGCCAAGCCTAGCCTAACCTAGGCCCCTAGCCTAGGCCTAGGTAGGTAGCTAAGCCTAGGCCTAGGACTTTTTAATAAATATTTCAATATTACAAACACTGCAGTAACAGTCAATGTATATCAAAGTAACCAAAATAAAGAAAATATAATACCTATTAGCTGTTAATTGCAATAAAATGGAGGCTAGGACTAGCCTAGCTAGTTCGGCCTGTAACTATAGGCCTAAAGGCCTAGGCCTATAACAAGAAGGAAGACGCGGCTGAAAGCCTATCGTCACGGCACACCTATCGCTTGGGTTGGCCTTGGTTGGGCTATCGAACAATGATAAAATAAAATTCATCATGGAAAATTTATTAACAGAAATGAGTGGAATTCGCCCACTGACCCAACATAGGCCTACTTACTAATTATGTAATACATCCATCGATGTAAGATCTTATGTCGACTTGCAAAATAGTAAAAAAACAACAATATTATTCAACCTTGTCTCTTAAGTCTCCCTCCAAATCACCAGCGTCCTATATCGTAACGCTCATAACTGCTTTGCGCGTAATCTTTGGAATTCGATTTTGGCGCGGCCATTTACCGTTTGTATAGCCGCAAAAAAAGCCCCGCCCTCATACGTTATCAACCAATCGTCGCCAACTTAATGAATATTAATAGAATATTCATCATTCACTATCAGCGTGTCCTGTACCTACCGTAAAACCTCGAATAGAAGCCCAATGGCTTAATCTCGAAATGAAGCCATTCCGTGATGTTTTGATGATTCTGATAACGACGTGTCAGTATCAATATTATTTTATTGTAGCATGGTAATGGTTAAAATGATTCCCGCACAATTATTATATTATCAAAACTCATGGGCTTTAACAGATTTTATCGTGTATTACATTTTTAGAAGCCGTTTTAAATTGAGAAAGTTTATTTTTAGCAGGACTAGGTTGAAGCTATTGTTGATATTTTTATGTCTGATGTTCGCTAGCATTGTTTCTTTTCAATTTTTTCAGCTTTCTTATATTTCTTTATTTGTTATGTATTTAACTGAAGACGAAATAAATGATATGAAATACAGTACATAGGCGTTCATTTGCTATTTTGTGGTAATAAATTATATCAAAAGCTTGAACTTTCTAATATGTATGTAGCGGTCAAACTAGTGTGGACGACCACAGGTCTAGGCATGGGCTAGGTCGGACTAGCCTCTTCAGTAGAGAGAAGTCCAGCTACCGGCTCGCGCCGACATAGTCTGAGGCCTCGTTTACGTTAAGCAGGCCTACGAAAAATCAAAGACCCTGGCCTAGGCCTCTACTGAAAAATCATCGTACTAATTTTTAATTAGTATTTAATAAATAACTTTATACAATACAAATTACAATACAGACATGGGAAAGTTTAATTGAGTTAGTGTTATATTCCGTCACTAAGTTTCTCTTTTTCCGGGAATACTGTATATATATATATAAAGGCCTAGCCATGGCAATTTTGTTTAAAAGCAGTGAAACAATAAAAATAATAAATCTAAAATTCAGCAATCATAATTTTAATTGATTAGGCAAATTGTCTCTTCCAGTAAGATATTGCCCATGCGATTTAAAATTGAAAAATGCATAGATTAAGTGTAGTACTAGAACATTATTAGTTGAGTTGGTAATAATTTAACTTATACAACAGAAGTACTTATGCGAGCTTACCTAGTACGCGTCACACAAAAAAGCCGACGGCGGTGCGGTATGTACGTACGGTACCGATCTAGGTAACTAGATGCCACACTTCTTGTGCGCTTAGTGTACGCGCGCATACTAACACTAGGATGAGGTTGCTTAGGAACATGATGAAACTAAACAGTATACATCCATTACAGTATAATCAACTTCGCATAGGCCTAGGCCCCAGTAGTAAAAGAAATCTACCAGTCAAATATTACAGTATTTTCAATTTAGCCTTCATTGAATACTGCATTTTAATTCAACAATGGAGTTTGAATCTGCAACTTTGCAATACAATTGTATCAGGTTAGTTGAAGAAACATCCTGTTTAAAATAGATGAAAAGACATGGTTTTTTTTTAAATGTTTTGAACAAGATGACGATTCCAAAGAAGGATGCGAGCCTCTACATGGACCCATTTTTGACTGATTTGCTCGCTCACAAAAACCATGAGGAGTATATACCTCCATGCAAAAACCAATGCAAGACAAAACTCTCAGCGTGTTAGGAACACTAATTAGCACTTTAGTATATAATTTAGCATTTTTTCATTATAATAGGCCTAAATATAAATAATTGGTGGAGCGATTATCCTTATTTATAAAAAAAAAATACGATGTTAAAACAATTATTTATAAATAATGACATGAGTAAAATCATTATTTATATATATAGGCCTAATGACTTACGGCACATAAATTATTATAAATAATGTTTTGTTACTATTTATAAAGAAAATCGCTCCACCAATTATTGATATATAAGTGTTGGAGGCAAAACCAATTATAGGTATAATGAACAAATGTTGAATTAATATATTGAATAATGAATTATATGTATATAATTTTGTTAAATAATTAAAGTACATTTGGCGCCTCATAGTAGGCTGGCTAAAACATCTCATTTCATCTAATCTCTATATATTTTTGTTCTATTGCCAGACCTGGTCTTATTTTTGTTAACTGATAAAATTAGCATTGTTGAACTTTTCTGTTTATAATTATGTATTATGAAATGTTTTGGACTTGGACAGCGAATGTATTCCGTGTGGAACTGATCTTCAAAGCCGAAATATTACACCATGGGTACTAGTCGGAATACCTTCCCCAAAAATAACAATGGTGAGAAAACTTTGTATTTACAATTTCCAAACCAATATGCAGATACAATATAAATAATAATAATAATAATAATAAAATAATAAAAATAATGTACATATATATATATACTTATATTATATATATATATATAAATAACATTGTGAAGGAAGCCAAAACAAATATATATATATATATATATATAATATTATGTAAATACTTGGTTGGACTGTAATTCGTTTGCTGGTTTAATGTACAGTAATTGATTTAACGGTAATTACAGGATAAGGTTCAGAGCAGTCGTCAAATTGATTTGCAGCAAATCAGACTACAAGGAGTCTCGCAGATTTATGAACAAGAAATTACTCGATTAAAGCAAGAGGTTTGGCATCATCAAACCTTTGTCTTATCATTTACTAACGAACTGTAGCCCTATAATAAAATTACGCAATGTAGACCTAGAGGGCCTATTGGGCCTAATTACTAGACCTAACATAAATGATACTTCGTTTTTATGAATGTATAAAGTGAAAGGAAATGTTTAAAAATGATAATATTGATATTATGAATATCAATTATATAATTAATACATAATATTATTAATAATAATGATTTTAAATAAAATATAAATAATACAGGAACATCATGATATATTTACATTAATATTATAGTAATATCGTGATGATGCCTAGCAACAACAATAATCAATTACAATTTTTATTAATAATATTAATATAAGTAATATCGAGAATAAAAAATAATGTCAATATCGAATTCATATGTCACATAATTTGAATACAGTATATCGTTTGTTTGTTTTGTAGCTTGCTACAATGAAACAGGAGTCTTCGGAAATAAGCTTGAAGCTTCAATCTGCTTTTCGACTACACGATCGAAAGGAAGCTATTTTTCGAAAACAAGAGGTACTGTAAATCACAAAAAGTTTAGTAAATTACATGTGTCCCTCTAATTAAAGATCCCTCCATTTAAATATTAAGTAAAATATGGGACCACTTTTCTGTGGTCCCATATTAACAAATGTCTTTTATCTTTATTATTCAAATTAGAGCAAATATGAATGGAATCCGGTCCCAAAAGTTGTATTTAATTGAAGGGAGATCTGTACCCTTGAATTTTTAATTTTTTATCTCATCCTCAATAATACAAGTGAAAGGTTTGTAGCGAAAAACAAAAACGAAATTAATATACTAATACTTACTGACAGGCGCCCTTTTTGAAGGAAGCGTGTCGATATTTTGTCCATCAGAAAATATTGTATTTTTTAGCCTAAACATTTTTTTTAAGGCTCAATTGAAAGCGTTTCAACATGAAAACAAAATGCTCCAAAACGAAAACAACCACCTGAGAAAAGAGCTAAAACAATCTCGTAACTTACGACAACCAATGGCGAGGCTAACATTGCAACTCGCAATTAAGAATAAATTTCTTAGAGAAAAGGCAAGTTCTTTTTTTTATATTGTATGCTGTTGGTTATAATTACAGGATTTAAATATCTATCTGGTAATACTTTATTTTATTGTATTCTTCCTTTTTATTTTACTTCTTTCTTTTTTAAAAATTACAGATTAACGAAACCTATGCTTTCTATGGCAAAAAGAACGTTATGAACGCTGCAGAAAAAATTTCACTTGAGGCCAACCTCAGAAAATCCGAATCAAAGAGAAAGTCACTGCTACTCAAGACATTTACAATGTTGGGCAAGGTAACAAGGTCCATTTTCTGTTGGATTGTACTTATCACCATCTTATCTTTAGACTACTATTATTAAGAAATGTGGTCAGAAACAGTTTCTAGTAGTGAATTTATTTGAATAGCCTCATGACGTCACTACAATAATTGATAAACCTGGATTTGAGCAACAATGATAAACGTAACAGTTAGCATTATTATGTGCTTCGGTACATCCATACGCAAGTTTCATGTATTAATTCATCAATGTCCTTACAACATTTTTGCTTTTTGAATTTTATAATTATTTATGTGCACAATGTGCTCATGAGAGGTAGTCTTTATTCATAATATATTGATTTACACGAATGTGACGTCATTTCAGGCGGTTGTATTAAAGAATCAAAGCTCCTCCAGAATCAATGTTCTAAAAATGAGGTAAAATGATTAATATTATAGTAGATGATAACTTTCTTTATACCTTTGAAAGGGGTGGACAAAATCGAATTGGCCAGTAACAACCAACGACGTTCAAAAGGTGTACCACTCCAATGCAAAATGGTATAATGGTATAACCACTCGATAATAAGCGGTAATTTTTCGACAGGAAGCGCGGCGAAAAAAAAGAATCCTTTGAAAATATGGCACCCACTATTACAGAGAATGCTCTTATTATTGGGGGTCGCTTTTTGGCTCCACTCGGTTTTTCCCTTGATTCGGGTTCTACAATATACATAAAATAACATTCTGTTTAAATATAATTAAGGGTGAGGTTCTTTTTTACAGGTGCAATATTTACAGGGATCAGATAAAATTCAAGAACTACATGGACCGTATGGTCAGCTCCGCCTCAACCCAGATTATTAGGTACTTATCAATTGTCAATGTTAAAAAAATAATGTCATAAATAACATCTTAATTACATTCCTCTGTCGCTACCTCCAACACCGCTGTCATCCTCCACCATATTAGGCCTACTGTACCAACAATATTTATTTTAGCGCAGAGGGTTTATAATGCGTTTTATAAGTCTATCATTATTATTAATTTTATATCTTACGCCAATTTTGTTTGCAGTGGCCCAACAGAGTTCGTCCCAGCTGCTGCAAAAATTCAAAATGAGCATATACGACGCCCAACTTACAAGAAAATATTTCAAAGAAGCATCCACACTGCGACAGAGCCAGAACACAGCACAATCCCACCACAGACAACTAGAAGAAAGCCGGAAACCCTGCACTACAACATCGTTCACAATGCAGCCAAACAAGAAACAGCGGGACAAAATAATATTCAGCGTTCATACAGTGTACCACAAGTTCATCCGTTCGCATTGCTACAGTTACCCAGAACCCGCAGACATTAATCAGAGAACTTTGCATGTGGTGAAGGGACCAGAAGAAAATAATCCCAATATTACAACACCTACTTTTCAACTATTAACTTGAGACAATACCGAAAAGATCGTTCGTAAATCATTTTAATATTCAGTCCTTTAATTAATACAATAGAGATAAGTGAATTGTGTTTACCGTATAAAACTCCAGTTAATTAGGCCTAGTAAAATGCAAAGCTTCGCCGCCTAATTCTCAAAGCAAGTTAGACTTGCAACCATTTCAAAGACAATAAAAATGTTTTTGTAATGATTTATTTGATTTGTTCTTTGTATATTTTATTTTGTATTCTTATTCTATACTATGTTATCTTTTTTAATCATAAATGTTTAAAATCCATCTCTTTATAGTACTTTCATTTATTGCATTATGAATAAGTATTGATTGATAAAACCCATGCTTTTATGGAAAAAATGATTGTTCAGAATGCTGAATGTAGTGGGGAAATGTTTACTTGAGCAACCAAAGTCAGAATAAGAAAAAATCATTGAAACATTTAATGATGGGCAAATTCAAAAGATGTTTTTTTTTTGGGGGGGGGGGAAGTTAAAAAAAAAGAAAGAGAAAGAAAAAGCAAAAATTTATCACCCAAAATGCCTCAGAGGTTTTTCAAAAATTTCGCGGGGACAAGCCCCATACCCTCTAGTATAGTGTTATGCCCCATACCCTCTAGCACAGTGTTATGTAAATCGGTCCTCCATCAGACATCTTTGGATCCGCCCCAGCTGAGTTTGTCCCAGCAAGAATTCAAAGTGAGCACATGCAACACCCTACAGACATGAAGGCAAGATTTTAAAAAAACAATGTATTTCCCGTTCACCCTAACATACAACCAGGATTGTCAACCAATCAACAACACAGCACAATCAAACTTCACACAATAAGACAAGAAAAACCTTCAGCACAACACACAGATGGCGTTCATACTGCAGCTGAGCAGAAACATGATACCGCCAGTAGCGGATACAGGAACTCGTGTCAAGGGAGGGATTTTCACAGATGGAGAGTCTAGACCATCTCAGCCCACCATGGCTGGGGCTGAGGAATGAGTTACGATTATGGCAACTCTAGATGGCTGAATTTCAATATAATTTTCTTTTTTTCTCCACTTTTTAAATATTTTTGAGAAATCTTGGGGGAAGCCCAGGAGGGCTGGGTCCCCTTTACTTGCATCCGCCAATGACATTTTCAGACATGGTTTCACAGATGGTAAAGTACTTCGAAACAAAAGTGAACAACAGACAATCCTTTGAAAATTTAACAAAATGGAATATTATATAATTCTGGAAATATACAAGTAAATAAACTGCACACTGTTAGAATATCAACTTACATTATGTACACTATTATATATTCATGCCCATATATGGGCTCATCACAAAATTTGACGGTGTGGTCAAAGCTGAAGAGTGGTGAGTAGGGATGACATGATGCAAAGAATCTAAGTGCCTAGGTTTGCTACAAATATTCATTTGTTTTCACAAGTAGATTTTTAGGATTTTTTTTTCTTTCTATGATTTTTTTTCAATACATCTTTTAATGATTTTTCAAGTGATTTTCACTGATATAAAATAAAATATTTAGAAAAAAAAATTGATAATTTTACTTGATAATTTTGATAAGCGTTTTAATGCTTTTAAAGAACTTGAGAAATTTTTTTTCAGATTTTATTACAAAAAATGATAATTGAATATCACTTACTTCTCAAGCAAAGTCTGGTCGCAAGAGTTGCGCAACTGTATCAGTAGTTTTTGTACTCCCAGGTCTTTCAGTTTTATTTGTCTTTCTTTTGCTCCTTCTTCATCTTTCCAAACAAGATTTGAAATGCAGAATGTGGCTGCAATTTGCAGTTTCACATTCCCATGCAACTGAAAATAATAGATAATAGTGGTAATAAATTAATCTTCAGTGTTTACAATCAAAATAATGTTGTTTGAAATCTGGAAAATTTTGAACGGCAGAGTTTAGTGATTATTCATTGTACATGACAACAAAGCCAGTGGCGTATCTAGTGAGTGTGTACGCCCACCAAAAACAAAATACTCGCCTTCCCTACCGCAGTCTCCCCCAAAATCATGTTCACATAGTTAAAAAATCACTTCAAATCAGCTTATCTTGCGAGCTAGTTCCCCTTACCTAATCATTGAGTACCCCATTTCAACATTCACACACCCATCAGCCACCCATTTTAAGAATCCTAGATACACCACTGAACAAAGCTCATTAGCTTCCACTAGCAAAAAAAAAGGGCAAAGGTCATACTCTAAACTTGGACTTGGTGAATGGTGAATAAGAGCATAATGCTTCCAGGATAGCCCCACCCTGCTGAAATTATCCATTTAGTCTTTAAATTTATGTACAGAATTCTGGTTACAAATCCCATGCTTGCCATTTGTCCTTAGCTAAAGCACATTATTCATGTTCCCTGTCTCTTTATATCCATGAGTCAAAGTATTTACCTGACAGAAAAGTAATTAATAGTTGCATATGCAATTGCTCCATTGGGTAATAATTTAAAATTCATAAAGGCCTTGAAATTTTATTACTAGGCCTATTCTTTTTATCATCATCATGTTAAATATACTTGGTGAAGATAAATCTACATACATAGAAAACCCTTTATATTTACGACTCAATTTAACATCATATCCCTTCATTTTCTCAATTCAAAATATAATTTTTGAATATTGACAGCCCATACTTTTCTAGATCAGAGGGGCTCAGACAAGTAAACTTTCATCTGATATAAAAGCAGTAAAATAATTAAAAATTCAGAAATTTTAAAGCCAAACATGTTTGAAAAGTGATCACACAAAATAAACTAAAAACATTGAGGGCACACATTGCTTTGATTTGTGCCCCTAACTGCAATTTTGATCCGACTGCATAATCATTGCATTTTTACATTCTACTTTTATATTCTGTGGGTATGTGTTGCATTGACGGTTGGACATTCAGTTTTGATAAACTGCTGCTTACTAAACTCACCATATAATTAGTGATTTTCTTTAAAATGTCTTCATTGGACATGATGAAATTTTTGGCTGTTACACCATCAGCAATATTTGCTAGGATACACAATGTCTGAAATATAAAATATATACTCAAATGCTCAAAAAAAAAACAATCCAAACACAATTCATATATAGAGGCACATGAAAGTAACTGTGGTATGGACATACCCCTCCACTCATGATAAAAATATAGGTGATGATAATAAATTTTTGAGGAAAAATGCATTGTCCTTATCAGGGTTTTAGCCCAAGACCTTCCGATTACCATTCGGATGCTCTATCAACAGAGCTATGAGGCCAATTGATATACACACTTGGAATTTCCCATTAGGACATGTTGTTTCTTAAGGTATTGCATAATATGTAATGAATATCATAAAATCACATAATAGTAATTGTGGTATTAAGATACACCTCCACTGGTGATAAATATAATGCAATGTAGTTAGATTTATATAGCGCTTTACACTGAACAATCTCAAAGCGCTTGAGGTGTGGCCTGGATCTTAAAGGTAAAGTTAATATATTTTTATATTTTTATCACTAATGGTGTATCTCCATACCACAGTTACTATCATGAACTTTAACCTTGAATCTGCATTGAAGTAATAGAAAGAGAACAGAGTTCAAATGAAGCAAATTTTAACCAACCTGCTCTTTCACTCCAGGCGGATGGTCTTCTTCCAGGATCACAGTTACCGCTGCTATTATGTCCTGCCCATGCACTTCCATAATTACATCAATATCCTGAAAAATAATTCCAAAGTCAAATCAAACAAGTTTCAATGCACAAATAAATGTATGTTGTCAACATTTTCATCAGTATTAGTGGAATCGGAAAAAGATGCACACTATGAGAATGACACGTGATGACCCGTCATGCAACGGATTGTTTACAATGATGACCTACTCAGAATGCTCAGACCCAACCCAACTGTAAGACCAGAAACATCAGGTTCATTATGCAAAAAAGGACATTGAGTCAATTATATAGCTATGTCCAGACTATCAAATTCTCTTTGACAAAAAACTTGTCATGTGAAGTCTGAGGTTATGCCAAATTAAGTGCTATTGTATTTTATAACATTGTTCATATGTACAAGTGTCATGCACCATTGATATGTAAATTGCTCGCAGTTAAGAAACCCGACTCTCAGTGAGGTGAGTGGTCATTCAATGCTGTAAAGATTCAGCCTTGGGTCAAAACGGTCTATGACCGTCATTCGACAAGCTGAGAACTAATGTAAAAGTACCATATCAGTAGATGTTATAGATAGGCAATGATTATGTTAACCTACACTAAGCTATAAACATTACAACTATTGTGGCCTCGTGCCTGCGATTATAACTCCATTATATCTGTGGATAACCTGATGAAATTTTGCATTGTGCGTATCGATCATCCGCTAGTTTCGAAGGAGTATTGAAATTTGTTTTTTTGGAAACTGCATGCGGTACTCAGAACTGCTATAGCGAAATACAGCCCAAAACGGTTTATTAATTCAAGCACATATTTATGGCCCACAGATAAGTTGACGAACATTATTAATGAACTCTGAATACATGATGATATTCTATAATATGATTACACATGTAAAATTAATAATATACAGTAGTAGAAAAGTTGAGTATAGTTCATTATTGCATAGATCCTGTGAAAAGGGGTATCTCAAATTAAGTAATATGAGGCATGTTGTGGCGAAATGGTTAAGTTGTCACACAGTCCAGTATTGAGTAAATGAGCTATAAAATATGGGAGCTCAAAAAATTGCCTAAAATTCCAAACTTGTTTTTCACTACAGATCAAAAGTTTAATGTCTTATTAATCATATCCCGAAGTATTAGTTCTGGAAGTGGTTAACAAATTGTTTATTTAACATTATTTTGATAGTTCATTCTATTAAACAATGTATGCACAAATAACTTTGAAAGGCAATTACTCAAAATCATGTTTATCTTGACTCTAAGAGTACTATACTTTCACTTTCCAATAACTTAGGCTTGAAATGTCCAATTTGAATGAATGACCCTCATTTTAAAGATCACATACTCAGGTATCTGAAAATATCCATAGCTTGAATTTCAATTTTTGCTACAACTTAGCCATTTTGCCACAACTCATATATGAATGGTAATATTTGAAATAGGACACACTTACTGGTTTTGTGGATAGTAAATTCCTGAGCAAGCCAAGTGTTTTCATGATGATATCAACATTTGAATCTGACAGAAGCTTAAACAGTTGGGCATTGCCAAGCTTCAATAGAATCTGATTCTTAATTTCTTGCCTGGATTGGAATGCCATATTCTGGAAAAAAAATATACAAAAATAAAATTGCATTTGTATTTCCTATTTTATTTAAAATGTCATTTTACAGCAGGAAAACCAAATGGAAACTACATAAAATTTGACATTAAAATATCAAAAGTGAAAACTATTTAAATGTACAAAATGAAAATTTAATTTTTGAAAGTTATCTTTATTTTATTAGAAATCAAAGTTTATTTTGAAGATCAAATGTATACCCAATTTCAAGGGACGTAACTGATAATACACAACACCCTCTTGTTTAATGAAAAGAAATACAATTTATGTGTATCAAAATACTCTACTTCTTATAATTTGAAAGTACTTTACTATGTTTTACAATTCAGTTCCTTGATCTGCTATTTTAGGCAGTTATGAGGTACAAATTTGGAATGATACAAATCTTTTCTTTATCAAATACAAAATCAAATTTAAATCATTTTCTGTTTAGGAAGTATTGTGTATGCTTACCATTAGCCCCCACACACCATTCAGTCTCAGGGCTGGATTCAGTTCTTCTGTCAGTCTGCACAGCAGGTCAACAGCGCCAGCTTCTACAATTTTCTGAAGGAGGTAAGGTTATAATAATATTATTTTTGTTTGTAGGATTTAATTTCTATTTGTATGTATTTTGCTCTTCTCTTATTTAATTGAAATACAGTTTGCAGAACCAGTTGATAAGTTTCGGCTATTTAGGCAATCCATCAGGCCTGAGATTTTGATTTTCAATTTTCATTGTTATTTGTGCCTGAAAAAATGTTTACTAAATAAATTTGGCACAGCAGTTGTTATAGATTTGGAGTGCCAATCTTAAGGTCGGGGGTTTGATACATCGGTGTGCAGTTCACTTGTGTCCTTGAGCAAGGCAACTAATCTGTGTTTGTCTCTCAATTCACCCAGGTGCATAGAAGGGTAACTGGAATGATGTGAATGCTCTATATTGAATGTATGTGGTGTGTACGATACACTGCATGCAACAACTAGGAACATTCCCCATGAAGCGGAGGAGGTTGTACGTTGTGCATGTTTGCTGATTTGTTGTGCATGTTTGCTGATTTGTGGATCTGAGTATCAGGGGATAAATAATGTTTTAAGCCCTTTATTGTATATGTGAAAATGTTATGTAAGTACTAAAATTGATTATATGTTTTTTTTTCTAAGAAAAACATTCATTTCATTTATATATTCAATGATCAAAATATCAGAAAAAATATAAACAGTAAATAATTATAATACAACATACAACATTCAGCATAATCCCAACATTCAATGCACTTTAACAAAAAAGATTGATTATATGTGATAGTGATATCATTAATTCATGTTGTGTTTTATGATTTTTCACTTTAGGAAATTTCTGCCTGTTGGTTTTTTGTTTGTTTTATATTCCATTCCTATTAGAGTATTTTGTATTATCCAATCTGTTTTACAATTGCAATAAAGTGAATTATGAAAAATCATATAAGCAGCAAAACATGAATTGGAACTATTAATTTCTTTTTTAGCAATAGAAACCTAATAAAACAACAAAAAAGTACTCGAGCTTCTAAAGATATATTCAATATTATAAGGAGATTGTATACAAACCTCTTTGCTTGGTGAAAATTCCAGAAGCAGATTGCACAGAGTGGAGGATGCAACCACCAGCAAATCAGCATTACCAGATGAGCTGAGCAACTGCAAAAAGGTGACAAAGACAAATGGAAATTGTTTTAATAATTTGATAATAGACTATTCAAATGAATGTCTAATATATTTTGGTTTTTACTTACCTTTAAATAAAAACAGGGTTTGACAGACAATCTTAAAAATGCTGGTTATATGTTTTTAGTGGGGTTAATAAATTAATTCAATTTGTATATATATATATATATATATATATATATATATATATATAGTCATTTGCTGAATGTATGGCCTTTACTACAAGCATAGTTAGCGTACATATAAACAATGTCAGTTTTGAAATAGAAGTAAAAAAAAATAGAAATCCTTAAGCTGTCTGCTAGCCAGTATTATGAGTCTTAACAAATGATGGAACAATGTAAATAATACATCTATTAGTTGGAAATCCTCTCATTGAAATATTCAATTGAATGCTAATAATAACTTAAATATTTTATTCTTAAATTTTATAGCTAAAATTAATGAAGTATGATAATTATACTCAAAGCACACTGTATATTCCAACTAATTTAAGAAACAAATCACGTAAATAAAATGGTTTTTTTTATCTCCATTAAATTTATTGTTTATATTACTATTTTATAGCTCAAAGCAAACTATATATTTAAATTAATTTAAGAAATAAATTGAGCAAATTAAATGTAATTTTTTTAACTCCATTAATGGTTCCAGACTTCACCTGTATCATAATTATAGCTCAAAGCACACTGTATATTCCAACTAATTTAAGAATCATATTAAGAAAATAAAATGTGTTTTTACCGCCATTAAATTTATTGTTTATATTATTACAATAGCTCAAAGCAAACTATATATTTAAACTAATCTAAGATATAAATTGAGTAAATAAAATGTTTTTTTTTTTTACCTCCATTAGCGGTTTCCATACTTCATGATCTTTAAAACTTGTCCTGAGCTGCTGCACAGACCGTGATAAACTATGCAAACACCTAGCAAATCAAAAGGATATTTTATGCACATACAAATAGTTGTGATTCCAGAAAAATATTACTTGAATACAGTCATTTGAGACCATTGATGTTTTCTATAACCAATCTTTTTACGGTTGGGAAGTTCTTGTATTTTGTAAGCGTTGAGCCAATTGATGACCAAAAATTACATGAGATTGAATTATTATTATTTATCACTGTTTCTGAACTCAATAACATAACACAAATGAACTTCTCATTATATATGCAGAAAAGAAAAATAACAGTTCAGTCGCCACAAACAAAAAGGATCTTCTAATAAGATCTAAAACATATTTTGCCTAAGGTCTTAATCCTTAGCTTTATATCTTAATTCTCTTTTGTTAATGATGTGATGCAATAAAATACCTATGAATGCATTGAAGTTAAAAACTTTAGATCATCTCACCTGACTGCAGCCAATTGTACTTTGGTGTTATGGTCAGCCAAACAGAGTTCAATTTGTGACATTAAATTCTCTGTCTCAATAATCTATTAAAAAAATAATGATAATTAATATAGAACTTTCAATTTTATATTTAAAAAAAATTGTATTTCTTCTAAAACCAAGCAACTTAGGACTATTTTAGATGACATTATATTATTTAAATTAACTGCTATTTGTCTAGGCCCCTAAAATAGTTGTTTACACAGGAACCCTGGCCAGGGTACTCCTTACAAGTTTCCTCATTCCTGTCAACCAGTGAGCCAGCTATGATTATTTAAAGTGCTATAACAATAAAAAAAATGTTCAATATGCATTATATCTCTGGGTACATTAATGCAGACAATGTACAACAAAGGAAGAAGCTATAAGTAGTCACACAGGAGTGTTTACCTTGATTTATTGTTACCTTGGCATTTAGACTGGAAACCTGTTAAGGTTTGTGAGTCCCTCTAAGATATCCACATTGATTCTGATGATCAATGCATCAAATGATTATTTCATATGAACTTCATCACTCATATATATATTAAAATATTCACAGTCCAACGCTAAACAACAGTTGTTATGTATATGGTCTGCTGTTAAAACTTTACATTTTCTTATCAAAAGCACAAGGTTTTGATAGCTTTATTATGTTAATAGGTTAGTGTTTGGAATGAAGAAGATATGGTCTGTCTGTATACATTATTTAACTCTTGTATCTTACTAATACGACTGCTAATTTTATTTACTTACTTTTTTTCTGATGTCTTCATCGTTTGCACCAAGTGATGCGAACACTCTGAATGCAGCTTGCTTCAAATTAGAAACCTCTGTGACATCAATATTCTAAAAAAACAATAAACATAAAACTAAGCAAGGTACTGAATGAACAAAATTTAAAGTATAAACACCAACACTGAAATAAATAAACAAAATGTTTTTGTATGGCTTTCTTTAAAGGAGATTTGATGCTTGTATTGTTAGTATACTGCACTTACGCAGACATACTCTATGCTGTGGTTATGGAATTTTTCTGTAAAATGGAATGTTTTAAGATACATTGAATGTTTCTGTGAAATGGAATGTGTTAAGTTTATTTTCAGTTCATTTCATTGACAAGTACAGTGTGAATGTAGTTCTATCAGGGAGCTGGTAATTGTTCCTATGTTTTGACAGATGACCAATGGCTGATAGCATCTTGTGCGATAATGGACTACGTTTAGAGTAACTTTGACCTACTGTAGTTTCTGAGGTATACTGATGCTCTTATCAGGAGCCCATTTTTTTCTATTGATATCAGCTTTGATTTTACGGTTAACATTAATAAATAAATAAATAAATAAAATTAAATAAATAAAACTAAATAAATAAATAAAATAAATAAATAAAAAATAAATAACTAAATAAAAATAAATAAATAAATAAATGAAAAGTTGCCATACACTTTTTGTGCACTGATCCTCTGTGATCTTCAAGTATGTTGCTAAAGTTGTGATAAGATGATCGGTGAAACTGGCCGTCCACTGCAGGTCGAGATCTTCCTCAATCAGATAGGCTAGTGTCTCTGCACCATCAACACGCTCCTCGATTGACATGTCTTTCTTGCACATCCGAACCAAAGTGGGCAGAGCCTAGGAAGATAAAAATTATGAGATGAATAATTTGATTATCAATTGGCACAAAGGTTAAAAAAATACTAGAACTTCCCAACCCACAACGATTGGTTATAGAAAACATCAATGGCTTTAAATGACAATGTTTCACTGGATGGATCCCCAGTAGTCTCCAACAAATAATCATAAGTAACTGCATAAAATATCATGTAGAATGTGTTGTGTATTATTAATAATACAGTTGAACCTTTCGTAAGCGACCATCCACGGGTCCAGGGAAAGTGGTCCCTTACGTGAGTACACACCATGTAAGGTCCAAACAACATAATATGTAATCATTACTATTTCAATAGGCTTTGGTAATACAACCTCCAAATATTCAAAACATATACTTTTTCTGGAGACTCAAGAATACCAATATCTTGATTAGAGGCAAAGTTTTAAGCTAGGAATCCATTTGTCCGGTTACGGTTGCTGCGGTTTAAGCAATATAACTGTTTTAAACAAGAGTGATTCCATTAGTAGGTTGCGTTTGCGTTGCGTCTCCGTGACCGCATACGCTTATTTTAATCGCTCCATGAAGCAATTCATCCGTTCTGACTCACCGTAGAGTGTGGTGAATCCATGCAAAAAGGCCTTTAAAAACTGTAAATGCAAACAGAGCCGGAACTGCAACCGGACAAATAGATTCTTAGCTTTACACATACATCAAAACCAACAATGAATATTCTTCTGATGTTTAAAAAAACCGGAGCTTACTTACCCTCATTGGTATGATGTCTGTGTCAGGTCTGAGAGCTCCAACTCGACGAATATAACTCAAACTGAAAATGAATTTACAATATCATTCATTATTTATACAACTTGCTTTACTTAATAACATTGTCCTCTGGTGGGACATATGGCTAGATGCCTCCACTAATTTCAATCTCTATTTATACAACTTACTGTAAACAGAATTGATGTTTAATTCAAACCTGATGATGCCAATGTCCTAATATAAACACTTGCGCTCTGCATAAACTAAGTCTTTCTAAATTTAGGTTCTGGCCATACTATCAAATAATAATGAGAGCAATAAATATTGGGTCTCAGCATAGCACTATTAAATGATATCTACCCTGCAAAATTCCCAATCTTTGCAATACAGGCCAGGGCCATTCATCCCCACTAATAATTATCGCTTGCATACAGGCCTGAATTATTCATTCACTTTAATCCCCATACCTTGCATACAGGCCTGAACCATTCATCTTCACTAATCCCCATCCCTTGCATACATGTCTGGACCATTCATCCCGACTGTTATCTATCCCTTGCATATAGGCATGGGCCATTCATCCCCATTAATCCCTATTCCTGGCATACAGGCCTGGATCATTCATCCCCTGTAAACCCAATACCTTGCATACAGGCCTAAACCATTCATCTTCACTAATCCCCATCCCTTGCATATAGGCCTGAACCATTCATCTTCACTAATATCTATCCCTTGCATACAGGCCTGGACCATTCATTTCCACTAAAATCTATCACTTGCTTACAGCCTGGACAATTCATCCTCATTAATACATACAGTATCCCTTGCATACAAGACAGAAACATTCATCCACATTCATCCCCATCCCTTGCATATAGGCTTGGATTATCCACATACAAATCACATTCCAATAAATGTAAAGTTGCTGCTTACCACTTAGCAGCAGCAAGCTGCATTTTCACTGGCTTATTCCTTGCGAGAAGACAGCTGAAATGATGGTATAGAGGTTCCCCATTATATGAAGCTGTAGATATAAAAAACAAGAGGAAAAATCAGTCACTGTACAGACTCATTCAGACTTTTCAGTTAAATTTATTATAATGTTACAAGTATCATGAATGGTGGATGGACACGACCCCCGAGTTTTTGAAATTTGCTTGTTTGCATAATTGGTCTGTTTTTTCAGTTTCTTTATATAAAATACATTTAGAAGAAATATTTCAAATTTTATAAATTCAGTAAAATCTGCATTTTGCAAGTTGAAAATGTACTTAGAGCAGCTCTCTGAGATGGATATATGTGAGTATAAATATAAAGACATTATTACTTAGGCTTATTACTTTTTCTATACAATTTATAAAATATATTTTTTTACATAAAATACTTTTTTTGAAAACATCTATAATATTTTATGCTAGTTTTAATCTTATCTGTGTGTGAGCCACCATGGGCTATTACAACTCCCACATGCCCCCCCCCAAAAAAAAAACTATAGTATGAATACAATCAAAACAAAAAATAATGAGTATGACTAAAGGGACTATGCAATTTGGGGGCATTACTCTACTAAGGTCCTAGTGACCTGTATACCCCACCTAACCAAACAATGCATCATGTCAAAGTTCAAAGTTAAACATATATAAATCTAATTAATGTAGATAATGTAGATACCTGATGCCACTGCTGATGAAACTTGTTGGTTTTCATAACACATGGCAGCAAAACAACAAAGAGCTGGTAATTGAACCTGAACAATTTACATAAGAAACAAGAATTTGAATGAGTAATATGGTTACAAGTATACAATATATATATGATAATGGTAAAATTATACATAGCATAATTTAAGTAATGATAAATAAAAAGAACACAATACTGTATTCATCAATGTTAGAGTGTGCAATTTCTAACTATAAAGTAAAAATGTCAATTTTCTTTTTATTGCGTATTACTGATAATATAATTAAATGAATATATATAATCAGATGAACAAACAAGTGAAGCAATAAATATGATGAAAATGAGTATTCCAACCTTTGGTACGTTGCTTAATAAAAGGGGAGACAGTGCACGAACAGATCCATGTTGCAGTAAAATCAGTTGATGATCATATGTCTATAAAGGAAAAAACGGAAAAATAATTAAACATTTTAAATTAAATTTTTTTAATTAAGAATATAACAAATAGTAACTGGACATTAAATCTACTGAAAATGTCCTTGTGAGATTCAATAGTTATTAATTTCCCTACTAGAAGAAACGATAAAAAATATAGTTCTGCATGAAATTGATTGATATTTAATTAGGATGTCCCACTAAAGCAATACTGGTTTTCGGATGTGTCCACAAACCAGATTTATCTCCAACCATTAATTTTTTTAAACTGTTTCCTTCCTTTGAAATAGAATTGGGATTTTTGACTATGATTTGACTTAAAATGAGTGTTTCTGACAAACTGATATACAAAGTACTGTAATATGGAAACAGCATCATAGGGGGTTCAGTGAAAATATCAGTTAGTTCTGTGAATTTGCTGAGCATCTTCCCTTAATGGTGTGCATCTAGTCGCAAAGCATTTGAGTAAGGTTCAAAGTTTCACGAAGTTCCAGGAAAGCTATGATAATGTTAATTTAAAGTTGTACAAGTGTTGTACTAATCTGTATATTTTACATTTCAATTCTATCACTATTATTACATTCAATTCACATTTTATCAAAATATTAAAAAATAATCCCTTAATATGTAATGTATAAATGCCAAGGTCAACTCTTTAATTATGATGCAATAACAATACCTTAGAATAACTGTATTTATGTTTTAATGTGCCTGTTGCATGTATTTTCTTCTATTTTTTGTTAAAGCTTTGTCAATGCAACAAATTAACTTTTGGACAAACAAAGTATTTAGTTATCAGCATTCAGTAAAAACATATCATGTTTTTCCAATTATAGATACCTACTTATAATGGAAAACATTCAGTCACATACTCAAGATATTAGATTACTTAGATTTAGTCCTAAAATTACAAACGAATACAGTAAAATGCTTTTACATACATGATTACTTTCTTTAGACTTATGTTGAATTGTAATTATAAAATATCAAAAGTTAATCATTATCAACTGAGCCTATTTTCAGTCCAAAAGAGAAACCTAACCCTAGTTTTCCTACTATAAATTTATGTTAGTTCAACTCAAACATCACATTAATTTAAGCATAATATCCTAGGTACTGTAGGCTACCTATAAATGTAATTATCTTTGAAAATGAAACTATCAAATATATACCCACCCAATTTATTGGCTTACAATATATATTTACAAGGTACTGTATCCTACCTGGTAAAGTACATTTTCTCTTTTGTCCTGCATTAGACATTAACAATTAACACTTTAACTAGAATGCCACTCCCTAATACTATAAACTCACCTTACAGCAGTGGGCTAGGATACTTGCAACATTTTCTTGTGTTGATAAGGATCTCGAAAGAAGCTGTACCAAATGGGGTATGATAGTTGAGTCCTGAAATTAATCATAAAATTTATAAGTAATAAAAATAATTATGAATTATTAAAATTGAGATGGAGTAGAACACCTATTTAGGTGACACCTTTGGGAACAAAATAAGTGTCCTCTGAATAGGGGTTAGCCATAGTGCTAAAAATATATAATTTCCTTCACTTCGTGGCAAAAAACAGTGTCCCCTAGGGGTTCCCCTTAATAGACGTGTCTCAAAGTAGGGGGTTCTACCGTATTAGACAATAATTTACCTCATACAAAGCATTGATCGGTGCAACAGGACTCGTGAAGATGAGACGCAGGAATCTAAGACATGCCTCCACAAGCTTCAGATCTGAATGTGCCAATCCTACAAGTGAACAAGGACATCAGTATATATTAAAAGATATGAAGAAAACAGAATACATGGCAACATTGCTGTTTCATGCACTTTGAGTGGAAGCATATTCCATGGGTTTTCTTAAGTGAAGTATTGCAGGAATGGATATGTCCAGATCACTGCTTGATTTTAATGACACTACATAAAAACATGCAACATGAGCCTCCTGAGCTTGTCCATCAAAACAGTTCCTCTGCTCTCTTGTATCCATATACTATAGCTGTAGTTTAGAAAATACTGTCACCATATCACATGAACCATTTCTAGTCCTACACTTCTGTATCACAATTCAAACAGAACTGATGAATACCATTTCTCTTTGTAATCTTTTCATATCTATCCTAATATAATTAATGTTTGTGAACCTTGAGTTGAACAAATACCGATATGTTAAAAGACATATTTTTTTTGTTCATGATTAATAATGTTATGGGGTTTATATGGTTTCAATATCCTGTATTGTGCCATATAGCTACTGGTTTTTTGTAAAACCAACTATCTATCTACCTAGCTATTATAAGACTGAAATATATATACTTTTTTTATTTATCATGATTAAACTTTCTAGGTTTTCTTTAAACTAGTACAACTTTTAACTTGTGAAAAAAGACACAGAAATAACAGAAAAAATATTAAATGAGCCTTAATTTTATTTAATTTACAGTAATGTAATCACAATAAAAAATTGAAGTATCAATGTTGACAATCTACTCCTCTTACCTCTTAAGGCCACAGTCAAAGCACCATCTTCTACCAGTGCTCGTCTGTTGGCCTCTCCTCCCCGCGCTAAGCTACCAAGGACCACCGCACACTCAACAAGGATCTCGGCAGACATGGAATCATTGTCTAATACTTGTAGAAGCCTGTTGATAATAAATTCAGACAAATCTCCCTGTATAAATTGTTGTCTACTATTATTTTTTGTAATATGGTTTATATGGTACTGTACATGCATTGTAATGGTATTGTTAAAGACTTGCAGAATGTGTAATATATGATCTCTATGCATTGTGATGAGACAGAATGGAAAGGGAAAAAACCCAAATAAATGGTATTCATCAATAATTTCTAAGCAAATAGTTTATAGAAAAAAAAATCACTGTTAAAGTATAGCCTTGCCACAAATTGATTTTACCTTTACCAACAAATATTATTTTGCAGTAGTACAGCAAGTTCGTTGTGCAGGCTGATCTGCCATTCATTAAACTATTTTTTATATATTATTAACTACTACATTTAATTTACATAGATCATTTAATATAGATTTGTTATGGTAGGCTGATCTACCATTGATAATAATATAATGTTATGACATTACAAAAATAGAAAAAAATGTCCATCATGGAGATTGAAATTATGTGAGCTCTCATCAACTGTCTCTGCTAAATAAAAAAAAAAACTAAGTCAGTTTATAATACTTAAATATTAATGTTCTTCCTGTTTAACTATGTATGTTGTATGTATTGATCTTCTTTAACACTGAATGCATTTGTGCAGAATCAGTAAAATCCTCAATGAAAAAAGCAGAAGTAGGTGATAATGTTGCACATTTCACGTTGTTCATTATGATTTTACATTATCCATCCAATTTGAGACAACCTTCCAACTGTTTAAATCAGTGCTTCTCAAATTATGGGTCACGACCCATAATTGGGGTTGCCAAATATATTAAAGGGACATGAGTCTAGGATTGCCTTTTAATTGACATTTATAGATTTTTAGTTCAATTCTGTGTACCCGGTTTTGAGACTTTTTTTAATGTCCTAGGGCTGGAAAGTGGGTCACGGCGAATTACCTGGACGTTTGTTTGGGTCGTCTACATAAAAGTTTGAGAACCGGTGGTTGAAAGTGCTACGGTTATACAAACATAGTTTTAATTATTTTTATATATTACATAAAAATAATATGAAAATTAGTTTATATATCTACAGTACTGTATTTAATTATTAATCAATTCCCTATTAAAAGCCACCTAAGGCTTTACAACAATGTTTTGCAGGAGGAACACTTACCTTGGAACAGCACCACAAAGCATTATCATGGTTTTCTGCTTGTTGCTGCCAATCACTAGATTTTTAACTTGCCTGTGGAAGATGACAACATACAAGTTGTTATTAACATTTAACAGCGTTTTGTATACAGGGAGAAATTCAAGCTGATATTACAATGATAAATTTACATATTTTACATAAATTGAAGCACTCACCGAATGTTGAATAACAATTGATGTTGGTCATTGACATTCAAGTTATCAACATACAGTTGCCCTGTTGCAATATCCTTGAAAGAAAATGTAAAGTTTACATGATTAGGAGGTCATTAAGGTAAAAAATTCTCAGTGTGTAAAACACGATGACCCAAAATAGGTTCATCTATCATTTTTGGAGGGTTGTTTTCTATGTTCAGCGACAATAAGATAAAAGAAAAATGTAAACGAAAAACAACATTAGGATACTTGAGGCATTCCACCGTATTGTTATGGAGAGACATTTTTTAGAATGTAAACAGTTACATCTCTGTAACTATAAATATATTATTACTTAAGGTGTATTCAATGTTTACATATGCGTGCTTTAGGTTAATTAATGGAAGCAAGAAAAATTGAGAATTTTTTTAGTAGAATAAATATTTAGACATGAATTTTTGTAGATATTTCAACAGTGGTAGGTCCAATAAGTCCAACAGTGCTCAAAAGTTAATGGTCATTAAAGACATGAGATGGAAGCATCGTTAAGATGGTACTGTGTAAACTGTGCCTTTTAGATCAATTGGAAATTAAAATCACAAAAGCTTTAGTTTGATAGCAAAATATATATTTTTGTGCAAGTGAATTTCAAAAGTGGAAGTGCAAAGCACCAATATCCACATCAAAAATATTTCAAAGACAAAGACATTTTGTTTATTAAAGTAGCATTTTCCAGAATTTTAAATAAAGAGACTCTACCCAAAGTACATTTGCACTGTTTTAGTCAACAACCAGTAATTTATTTTTCAGCAGCAAAAGACAATTTGTTGTTTTTCTGGTATTTAATTGGTAAATATAACGTCCCTATCTTAATAAAATGTTTAAAATTATTTGTATAGGCTAGATGAAAACCAGGCAGGGCCTATCCCGCTATGCTAAAATAATAGTTGGGCCTAGGCCAAATGCTGGTCACTTTGGCCCAAAACAAAATCGGCCCAAACCAATTCGGACCAAACCAACTCTGACCAAACCAACTTGGCCCAGACGACACTTCGGTCCAAAACCAACTCGGACTAAAGCCAACTCGGACCAAAACCAACTCGGCCCAGACTACATTTCGGCCCAGGCAACAAACTTAGCCCTAAATAAATGAATAGTTATATCCGAGGGCAGAATTCAATTGAATTGAAAATTTACACAATTGTATTCGAATCTGTTGAATCTATCATAACATATAATCCTTTTCTTTTATAATTTCCAAAATATTTATTAGTTTAACATTCTCAAAACAATATTTAGACATGCATACAAAATTCATTAGTTTCATCACTTTTTATTAGCGCACTGACAAAATGACTGCCCCTATACGATTGATTTATTCAAGACAGCAGGTTAAAATAGTTGGGTGGTCCCTGTGTTGACTTTTATTGTTAGTTTTTTGCAAGGTGCTCATTCATAGGAAAACATATTGGGTGTTGCTAATCTGAAATGAAGAGTTTACCAAAAAAAGATTTACCAGAAATAACAGTAGTGCACCTGTTTAATTCCAAAGTGCTAGATTTATTGAAAAAAATAAAAAATAAATAAAAATAAAAACCCTGCTGGAGGAGATAGCCTAAAATAACAGTAGGCCTACCGTTTACTTTTCCGTCGTGCAATGAAAAAAAAAAAAAAAAACTGTATGTAGCCAGTTTGAATTAAATGTACCTGATTAAATCCGTATTTTATTGTACTTCTTTTGCTTTAAATTGGGGCCAAGTTGGTTTATGCCAGTGACCAGATACTGGCGACTTGGCCTAAACCCATGACGTTTCAACCATAATTATCTCTCCATTATCCAACCCAACCAAACAGTGTCCTTTCGCCAAAATTATTGACTCGTTTGTTAATCATTAAAACTCAAAGAATTTTCCCTATGGTTGGTAGGCATAGGCCTATGGTACCAACCCTTAATCTACATCAACAGTCAGTAGTCCTTAACCAAGTTAGGTAGTTTCCTTATTTGTATACCTCCCTGGTGTCACAGCGGGCTAGGCGGCAAGGCGGACAAGTCCCACCTGGTACTTGGAGGACCGGTGGAACAACAATAGATAGACTGCCCATCATCATACTCCTTCCTACCCTAACTACCGTCCTGGTCTAGGGCCTAGCCTATGTTATGGAAGAAGTGTTATTACTATTAGGCCCATACCATTGTTAAACAATGCATATCTTACCATATTTATGACTTGTCGGCTGTATTTAGATGATAATGTCAGAACATGCTACACCAAAATGTATTTTTATTATTACGAATTTTTAACGGTGAATCAACACCACACACAACAGAAAAACTCACGAGATCAGTAAAGTCTTCTATTACTGCACGGACATCTATTACACAACGGTCTAGCTAGAAAACACACACTACATGCAGTCCGTATCACCAGTCACAGGCAGAAAAAAACTAAGCTGCGCACGCGTTGGTTAGTCCATTTGTTTATTAGGTAAATCTGATTATTCACCTTCTAGTTCGATAGGACATGAAAATTTGGGGTTTTATCCAACTTTAAATTGATGTTATTGTGTTCTTCCATAATCATAAATCTCTTAGGCTTTTAGAAACTTATTATTATTTATTTTACAGTTACTTTTACTGTATCACTAAATAAATCAACTTAATTTCATTACACTAAAAGTTTGGTCATAACTATATGCTACCAAGCATTAGTATTATTATTATTTTATTATCATTATTATTATTCGTTATTATTATTATTATTATTATATTATTATTATTATTATTATTATTATTATTATTATTATTATTATTATTATTATTATTATTATTATTATTATTATTATTATTGTTGTTATTATTATTATTATTGTTGTTGTTGTTGTTATTATTATGCACTGCACTACTGGGGCCAAGTTGGCTTTGTTACGAGTTGACCTGCTTTCGTCAGGTGAACTGCGGAAGTATTGTAGGCCCAATATGTGTCGGCTGCACACAGTTACATGAAAGCAAAAGCAATGTATTTTCAATACAATATAAATAAATTATCAATCAATAATTTTTGCAACTGCCTTTAGCTTATCTCAGTACATCAAGTATGGGAACACTGCATATCTTGGTAAATTAGTATCTCTTTCTAGTTAATCCAGATATGTCAAGCATGGCCTTCCTCTTTTAAGTTGACCATGTACCAATAGGCCTATCTTTTAAATCATTTTCTCTTACTACAGTGACATGCAAGAATAATTGGAATATAGTTCCTTTTTATTAACATGTTCTTTAAAACTAACTGAGAATGTGTGTCTCTCAGTCTTGTGTAACAACCATCAAGACTACGTTTGTGCTACAAGGCTCCACGTCTCAGTATACATCAAGATACTATACTGTTGCTCAAAAACAATACAATGTATCACTCTCAATAATAATACAAAGCAAGAACAGATGGCGCAATGAAGAAACAGCAGAGACAAGACAGAGGTTGAAGCAAAAGAAAACTCAATCTTCAAGTGGAACACCTGGGGCGGATTGCACGCGGTCTTAACTTTCTTCGAAAATAATTCTAGATGGCATAAGTTAGGTTGATAATTAGGCATGATTGTACGATGGAGATGAAACATGTTACCGCTGTGAAAATGGAATGCCTGACACATGTGCAGTGTATCATAACAGTCTCCTAGATCGCCGTCCTCTAGTTAGCGGTCTGTTGGATTCCCGTTACAGCAACATGGAAGAAATGTCAGACATCTGAACTTTGACTGAAGTTAAGCAATAGATTGTTTTAAATCTTGGCGGGAGTTTTATAAACATTTTATAAGTTATGATATATATATAC